ATCTCTTCAGCAAAAGCTGTCGTGCTAAGGGAAAGAGTCAGCACGTTCCTTTTAGAAACAAAATTGACCATCAAAAGGCATCCCAAGTCCTGAGCAGCATTCAGATGACCTTACTCACTTCAAGGGAACTACAAAGCTACGGCTACCTGCGCCCAAAACCTTGTAACACAGAGGTAAACAACATGAAGCATGATGGTGAATACAATTCACCTACTTAGGAACAGCCAATTTAGTTGTCTCTCTGAATCAGGCATCCCTGGTCACACAGATTGTTACTCGACCTGTCTTGAATGTAATTCAGCACATGGCTGGTAAAGTGCAATTTGAGGTTGGGATGCTTGTCCCATTATATGCTGCCATGCCTGGATTCACTGGCTTATGAGACGTGTGTTCGTGGAGGGAAACAATCAAGGCTTTATCGCATAAGGAAATACCATTCGCTTTGCTATCAGTGATCACTGTGTGTGCCAACGAGGTGGATTCAGCTGATTTCTCCCACAAAATACACGGTCACTGCACTATACAGTATATCCTATGAAGAGATTTGAAATGTCTTGACGACGTGATAAGGTGCTATATCAAATGCAAGCATTATTATTATTGTTATTATTATGCTAGTACCGTTTAAATGGTTAGACTCCAGCAGTACCGCAACTCACAAACTGCACCTAATACTCTCCAGAATTACGAAAGCAGGATGTGTCTCTACGGGGAGAGAGTGCACATTCCATTTCGACAATCTATCTCTGGAATTTCTGTGTGTTGATGGGATGCAAGGAATTCTCAGTTTGGTTTGGATGCTCTTAAGCACGGTGATGGGTTTCCACATGTGTCAGACACCCGGCTGACCAGAAAAAATTGACTGTTAAAATATCTGTAGAGATAGTTTCTAAGTACTTTCAGCGATGGGTCAGCCAGACCAATAACACTGCCACGTTACACATAAATGGATGTTACTCTTCTTAGTATGATTGTTGAAGGTTAATAATCCCTTCAAAAAAAATAATAATTTGGTCACTCAACCCCCCGACTGTTTGTGGGACTTTGCTGTGTGCAATTGGCTGCCGCGTTTCGCCCCCAAACATAGTCAATTCACTTTACAGTGTTTCCTGTGTAGCACTTTGAGAGATGTCTCGAAGATGTGATGAGGCGCTATATCAAATGCAAGGATTGGCATTATTATATTATTTTTAGCTAGTAACAGGAGCTGAGTGGGAGGAATCCCAGTGCCTGTGGAACTGTGCCCACGCAGAAGGAAAAAAATGGAGTAAAATGCACAGAGGCAAGACAAGGAGAGAGAAAGTTAGAGGAAAACAACGAGCTGAAGTTTAATCTCCCTTTCTCGTCTTGTAGTGATAATCTTCAGTTTATGCTCTCGTTACTTGACCTGTCAACATTTCAAGCCTTATGCGAGACACATTGGCCCCAAGAGGACTGTTGTGGACTTAACCAGCTCTTTACATCCTATGTGTTTCTGACAAAGGCATCGTCTTCATTAACTGATGTCAGTGTCTGTCTGTATGTCTGTCTGTGTGTGTGTGTGTATATGAGTGATGCATGTGTGTGTGTGTGGTGTGTTTCCGTGTATGTGTTTGTGTGTATGTGTGATTGTTTGTGGTTTGTGTACATGTGTATGAGTGGTATGAGTGTGCATGTGTGTGTGTGGGCACAGGCGTGTGTGTGTGTGCGTGGATGTGTGCGTATACCTGTGGGGTGTGTGCACATTGTGCAGTGTTTGTGTGTTTTTCTGTTTGTGTGGTGTGTAAGTGTGTGGTGTGTGTACATGTATATGAGTGGTATGAGTGTGTGTGTGTGTGTGTGTGAGTGTGCATGCGTTGTGCTCGTGTGTGTATGTGTGTGTTTGTGCGTGAAACCCTGATATGTCAATTACGATGCTTATGGTAAAATTCTGGACTGTTTGAATACCGAGCAGCAGGTGAAGTTTGAAAGTATTTCATGCACAATTAAAGACAATTCATCACAACTCAATGAGATAAGCAGTTCCCAACACTGTAGGCTCTGTGGCTACCGTGCAGCAGGTATAACAATATGATTATTAACAATCACAGTACATGGGACAAAACATTCTCTGCACTCAGCACTCTGTGAGCAGGGCTGGTTTCATTTCCTCTATTGATGATCATAATCCTTACATTTGATATAGCGTCTTATCAGGTCTTCGAGTCGCCTCAAAGCAAATTCACTGAATTTACTGCAAAGTGTAGTGACTATGTATCTGGGCGAAATGAGGAGTGAGAAAAAAAGTAAAATAATAATAATAATAAGCTTTGCATCTGATATAGCAACTTTCGTGTTGGGGGTTGCTTCTCAAAGCGCTTCACACAATTTACTGTGAAGTATTCTGTGGACGAACGCAGCAGCCAATTTGCACACTGCAATACACCCATGAAATGAATGATCAATTTTATCCGGGGGATTGTTTGGCCAAGACACCGGGACAAACTCCCTTCAAGATGAACAGCTGGAAAGATTTCTTCTTTCTTTCTTTAGCTGGTGTGAAATACACCAAATCATCTACTTTTGCGATGAAAGTATCTGTTAGCTTTGTTTGCTGCAGGCTGGTATTCTTCCCACTTGGCTCCTGTCAATCTTCTCTAACAGAAAGAGCTTTAGGGTTCTACAAGTCTCTATCCTGCATGGAGGATGGAGTCCTATAGCGTAGTAATTAGCGTGCTCGTCTCGCAAGCGAGAAGACCTGGTTTCGATTCCTTAAGTACGTTTCCTTACTCCGCACGTCTCTGTTTACTTAGCAGTAAGTAGGAACCTGGTTGTGAATCGACTGATTGCTTTCAGGGGATAATAATCCACTACCCCCCAAAATGTGGGGGAATCACTCAATCCACGACCGATTGTGGGACGTTGCTGTGCGTAATTGGCTGCTGTGTTTTGCCTACAACATACACAGTCAATCCACTTTACAGTTTCATCTGTGAAGCATGTTATGAAGTCTCAATTATGTGATAAGGTGCTATATCAAATGCAAGGATTCTTATTATTATTACAAGGACATTACGTGAATCCAAATTGTTGTCGTTGCTCTCTGATTGATAAATCCCCCTGTGATGTTTCCATTTCCTGGTACGGGCAACACAGAATGCATGGCAGCATTGAGAAAGATTGGCAAAGACTTGGTCCTTGGTGTTTGTTTATACAAAGCCCAAGTCCACATTTTATGTGAAAAACACAAGTTGCCCGCCAGGTTCTCCCACAAAACAAACAGTTTTCTCCTGTCATTGTTGGATGAGCTTTTAGCCATTTTGCCCTGCTCTCTGAAGCTCCATCCCAAAGTCCCTTTGACTCCCTCCCCTCCTCAATTTAAACCCCATTTACAGTAAATCCCATGAAGAGCTTTTGGACGTCCTCCCGACATGGAAGGCGCTATACCAAATGCAAGCGTTATTATTTAGTGCACGTCTACACATTTGGGGCTGTCAAACCAGGCACTGAATCAATCCTGGCTTTCTTTCATACATCCCCAGCCACAAGCATTGCTTTGCAAAACACCCCCAGTAACTAGCTTCTTTTATCCAAAAAAAGGCAGTGGGACCTAACCAAGTTACACAGCTGCTGGCTGGTCTTGTACAAACAGGCATGAAATGAGAAAAGGCCATCTGGCCCCTTGAGTATGCTATTTCTGACAGGACAAGCATTCTGGCTTATTTATTCAATTTCCCGAGGGATCGCAGGAGAGAGCTTTGGATGAAGTGAGAGCTCTGCGATGATAAAGCTCTGAAATTTCTCCCAGACACCCTGCAGGCAATCAGGTAGAAACTCCAGGATATCAATCTACATTATTCAACCCTGACTGCTTGCTTCCCCCCAGAATGAGATTCTCCTAACTGTACTGAAACCTAAGGTCTCTAAAACCTATGTGATCACCTGTACTTATTCCAATCCTAACAGCACCAACCCATTCCTACAGCTTACAAATGCTTCCACCTCAGACTCATCAGTCATATACTCAGTGATTATCATCTCTCCACTGGTGCTCAGTCTACAACATTCATAGACTTATGTAGAATGTCATGGCTTGGAAAAGGTCATTCAGCCCAACCAGCCCAACTCCACACAATCCTCCACCCCTCCTATTCCTTTCTCTCCCCTATACCACTCTATTCACTGGCTAACTTATATTTGCGCCCTCTAGTTTGGGGACCCATTCACAAGTGGAAAAAGCCCATAATCGCACACCCGACCGAATCCCTCCTTTAAATGAGATGTTAAACCAAGGTCCTGTCTGCCTGTTCAGGTGGACATTAAAGATCCCATGGTACTATCGGAAAAGAGAAAGGAGTTTCTTCCGGTGGCTAACAATCCCCCAAATAAAATCGGTCACGCCTGGCTGTTGGTGGGACATTGTTGTGTGCAATTGTGCTACCTCATTTGGTTATGAATACAGACACATCATTTCACAGTAGTGGTTAGCACGCTCACTTCGCAAGCGAAAGAAGACCCTGATTCGATTCCTGGGTGGGGGGTAAACCTTATGCAAGTTTCCTTACTCCACAAGTCTCTGTTGACTTAGCAGCAAATAGGAACCTGGTCGTTATCCGATTGCTGGATTGCTTTCTGGCGGTAATAATTCCTCCCCCCCACCAAAAAAATGTGGTCACTCAAACCGCAACTGTTTGTGGGACACTGTTGTGTGCAACTGGCAGCAGTGTTCGCCCACAAACATACACAGTCAATCCACTTTACAATATATTCTGAGTAGCTCTTTGAGATGTCCTTACGATAAGATAAGGCGCTTTACCAAATGCAGGTATTCTTCATCTTATTATTATTTTCCCTTTGTGTTTGCCAACAAATACAGTCACTCCATTTCACAGTAACTCCCGTGAAGTGCTTTGAGACATCCTGTCAACGTGATGTAGCGCTATATCAGATGCAAGGATTATTAATAAGGATTATTATTATTAGTAGTAGTATCCCTTCAGGACGTGGAACCCATGCTGTGCTACGCTATGTGCTGTACAGACCTGGCGTGAGGTCCAAGCAGCTTTTCTCGTCGTGGCCTTGAAGGGAATCCAGGGTGCGTGTGACCTGGCTGCCGAAGTCCTCTCCACCATTCATACACTCTCGCTGCAACTGCTGCCTCAGGTCGTCGATGTCGTACTCGTAGCCGTCCAGGATGGGCGTCTCGCGGATGCTGATGGAGCCGCTGGAGTTGTGACCCTGCAGTCTGCTGTTGCGCAGGCTCTCGCGGGTCTGGCCGGCCATCAGCACCGAGGGGATGTAGTGGATCTCATTGGCTGCCTCCGCACTCGCGCTCTTCTGGGGCTGCGGCACACGGCGCCGCTTGCACCAACGCCTGCGTGTGTACAGGACCGTGACCAGGAACAGGATGGCCAGCAGCAGGGCAATCATTCCTCCCTGCAAAGGAGACGAGAGAGAGAGAGAGGGGGAGGGAGAGAAGGGATCAATCTCAAAGCAAATCAGAGAAATTTACAGCGCAGAAGGAGCTTATTTGGCCCATCAAGTCAGCAAAGGCTCTCACATCATTCCCCACTGCCCTGCCCTGTCGCCACACCCCTTCAAGCCTCTATCTTTCAAATACCCTTTCATTAATAATCTTTCGTAATTATTATTTATTATTATTATTATTACACCCAACTACTTCCCCTACAAAATCACAAGATCGATTCGGATGAAGAATCCTCTTCGTCCATCAGATCTCATCCCTCCAGAAGACCCCATCCAACCGCCCTCCCATCACAGCATCAAGCTGCTTTTAAATGAGTCCCAGTGTCCTGGCTTCAACCACTTTTCCTGGCAACCTGGTCCAGGCATTAATTACCCTCTGCTTAAGTTAAACTTCCTGGTGTTTGTCCTGAAAATGCCCTTTGTTAACATTAATTCTGTTTATTGCTGTCGAGTTGATCTGGGATTGCTTTTTCATTCCCATTTAAAATGTTATTCTCACTTGAAATGTACAATGGACTCTGCCTCTCTCTCAAAATGCTTCATGTGATTATGGTGAAGTGTAGTAACTGCATTTCTGAGCAAATTTGGCAGCCAATTTGCCCACCGCAGTGTCCCACTAACAGCCATTGAGCGAGTGACCAATTTTATTTGGGGGATTTTTGTTGGCCAGGACATTTTTGTTGGCCGGGAGACAGAAATTCCCTTCTCTTGTCAAATAGTGCCACAGGATCTTAATCTCAACAGGCAGACGGGTCCCCAGTTTAACCAAAGGAGAGTAACTCTGACAATGCATCACATCACCAGTACTGCACTGGAACATCAGTTTAGACTGTATAAGTTCAGAACCTTCTGACTGAACGACATCAAACAACAAATCTACATTTGTATAGCGCTTTTCATGCCAGAAGGATGTCTGACTCAGTGGGACTGACTGAACCAGGCTGACACTGAAACGTTACTCTGTTTGTGGAAGGAGAGGGAATATAAACCAGTACAATGTGAGAATCATCCCACTTTTCGTAAGAAAAAAAAGATAAACCACAGCAGAAAGTTGAATTAGAAAGGCTCGCAGAGCATTCTGAGCAAACTGTGGAGAAATTGACAATTTGAATTCAGATTAACCTGCAACGGCTTGTGATAGGCATATCGTTGGGATGCTTCCAAGCTCCTGCCCTTAATTTATTTGTATTTGCTATTTGGTTGACATGTGCTTCTTGGATCTTGAGAGTGTACGTGAGACACATACAAACCCTACAAGCCGCCCTGGAAAGGTTGGACTGCGAACACCTTATTCCCTAGATCTGAAGGCTGGCATTCTGCCTTCATAATTCAGGCTGCCCCACCATGCTCAATTCCAATTTTCTTCAAGACCCTTTCAGCTTTCAGAGATGAAGAAATGTCATTCCATCAACTTGAGATGGATTTGAAGCCCAGTCTCTGGAGTGAGAGGCAAGTGATCTTACAGCCTCCACTGACCACACCCTGAACTATTACATTCTGGGATAAACAGCAATTTCTGAGTCCACGCTCTTCAAAAGAATGAACCTCTCGACCCGAATGTAGTTCTACTGGTGAAAATGGAACCAGCGCATATCAAAGCCTTGTAGAGGGCTCAGTTATGCTTTTGCAGGTAATGATTGCCCTGCTCAGAGGCAACATATCTTGTAGCATTTTGGTTAGCAGGTTGCAAGCGAGAGGACCCAGTTTCGATTCCCGAGCAGGCCAAAAACCTTAGGCAAGTTTCCCTACTCCACAAGCCTTTGTTTACTTAGCAGTAAGTTCTATGTGTATGTGTGTGTGTGTGGTGGGGGGAGGGGGGGGGATGGGTGGGAGGCTAGAGACAGAGATAGGGCTGAGATTCAGCTATTGTGGGACAAAGAAACATGTCAACCAGGCACAAAGCACACAAATCATGACCTAAAAATAAAGCAATAATGCGCCTTGTGCAAGCACTTTTACCGCTTCTCCACCTCTGTACAATCCTCCGCTCAACACACACAGGTTGTCCATCACCAGACAGTTTCAGTATTCTAGTCTTGAACATTGAACAGCTGTCACCTCACATTCATACGTGGGTTGGGATGAGGCATCAGCCTCTTGATTGTAAGTTGAGCAACTGGGCACTAAGAACAATTGTGCCGTGATTCTGTTGTTCAATATTGACAGCCTTCATTCCATGACCGGAAATCAGCTTCTTCTGAATGACTCCCTATCCCTGCTTGGACCCCACTGTAAGCCCACTTCACACAGGTGAACACACCAGGCTCCCGTATCCTTCCTTCTTTAATCTATCACTGAGTAAATTAAAAAGACCTTTTTCTGATTTATTTCCAATATAGATATATATATATACAAAATTACATTTATAGAGCGCCTTTCACGTCGGGAGGACATCCCAAGGCACTGAAACGTCTATTATTGGGTATTGTTTTTCCCCAAAGTCAATGGCAACTCTGAGATTTGAGCAGTAGTGCTAGCCCGAGATAACGGTTCTTTAGAAATGCTAATAGTCAGCCTCACACTTTAAAGAGGGTCCGGGGAATCTGAAGCATTCAGTGCCGGACAATGGGACCACACACTGCCCCAATGCTTGCCTGTCTCCTCATTCTCCGAGTGGAGAACAACGTGAAATATAAACAGGATAAAGGTCAGTAATGCATAAAATCAGCTTAACACACGGAATATTTATTAAAGACAAGAATAGAGATGCTATCTGAAATGCCAGTTGGCGAGGGTCTTCAGCAGTTTCTAATTACAGTCTCTGTACTTCTCTTTCTCTCGAGTCCAATACTTCACCGCACTAATTATTTCCAGTACATAGTAGGATTATTTTCTCTCTCTCTCTTAGAAATGAAGTTAGAGTTATAAATCCAGAAGTGAAAATCATATTTTAATCAGTTTATCTGACAACTCATTACCCTCACTGCACGATGCTTTAACCTAACTTGACCTTTTGGATGGCTAAGACGAATGGTTTCTCTTGCCGCTGAGTTTTTTTTTGCAGAGGAACTGCACTGCCATTAGAATACCGATCACCTCGCCAGCCACACACACACACACACAGGGCTGCAACCTGCAAACCTTATGCAAGGGCCAATTGCTGTCCACTCCATATAGCCACCACTGTGTCAGCCTGGCTCAGTTCATAGCTTTCTTGGCCCTAAGTCAGAAAGGTTGTGGGTTCAAAGTTTAGTTTGACGTCCCAGCACAGTGTTGGTGGAGCACTGCATTGCTGGAGTTGATGTTCCTCAGATGAAACGTTTTCTGAGGTCCTGTCCGCCTGTTCAGGTAGATGTTAAAGATCCAATGGCATTATTCAAAAAGAGAAGGGGTTTTATCTCTCCCAGTGTCCTGGCCAACAATCCCCCAGATAAAATTAGTCACTCACTCTATCGCTGTTTGTGGGACACTTTTTTGTGCAAATCGGCTGTCGTGTTGGTCTACAAATACACAGCCATTACATTTTATAGTGTATCCTATGAAGCGCTTTGAGACATCCTCCTGGTATGAAAGGCCCTGAATCAAATGTTCTGGAATATTTATTAATTTTAAATGCGCACATGTTCCTCCCAGAGAAATGTATTTTAACAAGTCATCTATCTCAACAACATGAATAATTGCAGTGCAAATGAACGGCACATTGCTCAGTACCAACGCAACTTTAATTAGCGCTAATAGTTTGCTCCCAGACACTTAACAAAGTTACAATGCGTGCCATTAACGTCACAGTCAGAAACGTCTCAAAACACTTTACGTTGCTTGCGACATTCAAACATCCTTTGGAAGAGACTCTTAGCTGAGCTGCAATCCAGTGGTTGGGATGGATGGAGAATGTCGCCCCAAACATGGTGACGGATTATTATCTGCCATGCAAACCATGGCGCTCACACACACCGATCCTCTGAACATCTAAATACAGTTAAGCACTTGTACGGAATGCAATTAAGTACTTCTAATACAATTATTATCATTCTTTCACATGTCTCAGTTGTTGGTCAGTGCACTGTAGAAAAAAAACATGGGGGTAACAGGACTGTGTGAACACCCTGCAGTTGACTATAAACGCGGTCTCCAAAAGATGCCTTCCTGCAGTCTCGTCATAGCCTCAGAGCCCACCAGAGGGAGTAGGTACGGTCTGTATCTGCTCTGTATAATCTGTCTACTATGATGGTGCACACTGAGATTTTAAACCACCTCCATTCCACCTCTTCCACAAACCACAGCTCACGTGTTCTGTTGTTGTCAAGTACCACTTATAGAGTGATAAAATAACAATAACAATAATAATGATACTAATAATCCTTGTATTTGATATACCACCTTATCACGTTGACAAGACGTTTCAAAGCTATTCGCAGGATATACTGTAAAGTGGATTGACTGTGTATTCTGTGGGTGAACTCTGGAGCCAATTTGTGCATAGCAGTGTCACACAAACAGCCATGGAGTGAGTGGCCAATTTTATTTGTGGCACTTGTTAGCCAGGACACCAGGAGAAACTCACTTCTCTTTTCGAATAGTGCCATGAGATCTTTAATGTCCACCTGGACAGGGAAACTGGACTTTGGTTTGCATCTCATCCGAATGAAGACACCGCCATCAAAGCAACACACACTGCATTGGAATGTCAGCTTAGACTATGTGATTCCAAGTCCTGATGTGAGGCTTGAACCCACAACCTTCTGACTCAGAGACAAGAGTGCTACCAACTGAGCCAGGCTGACACACTGTGTCATAGAGTGATAGAATCAGGGAATCATAGACATTAACAGAGCAGAAGAAGGCCATTCAGCCCTCGAGTCTGCAACAGTTTTAAGAGCAAGTTGTTCATTCAATCCCACTGCCCTGCCTTATACCCAGATCGCTTCAAGCCTCTAATCCTCCAAATACTTGAGGTAAGCAGAATCCGTCTCTCCAGGGAGAGTGCGCATTCTATTCCAACAATCTCT